TGTGAAGATGAAATGAGGCACGTGGCAGAACCGAGACGTTTGTGGGTTTGTGGTGCAGAGCCGGCACGAGCACCTCACTGCACAGACAGCTTCGCCATCACAGAGAACACTGCAGTTGCTCAGGGTTGTCGTTCGTAAGAAGAAAGATGAGTAAAACTGGGCTCAACATGACAGGATTGTGTAGGGGGGAAAAAGCCTTGACCCTGGAATTAGGAAACCTGTCTTCTTGTCCAACTGTCACCAGCTAGTTCTCTGCCTCAGTTTCCCCCACTGTAAAATGAGTCAGTTGGAAGTGGATGTCTTCAGCGGCTGTATTGTCAGAAGCTTGTCTCTGTGGTCAGTAAGGGCCAGAGTCCCTGTGACAGCTGGTACTTGGTGGGAGCAGAGGCCCGAGGTGCTATCCAGCCTGGCCCTCTATCAGAAACCAGACCTGTCAATGCCGTTTCTTGGGGCCCTCTCATCTGAGTCTGGGGAAGTCATTAAAGACCCTTTTGCTCCAGCCACAATGAGAGCCTGTGTGGCATGCTCACGCCTCCCGCAGAAGTGGCTGCAAACACCTGCCTTTGTCCTGACTTATGCACAGGAAAGGTGTTGGTTTGAATGAGGTGGCCCCATGGTAGCCATGGGGTCTCTTTACTTTTCCTGAGACCCTGTTCCCTAACCTTCCAGGCTCAGACCTGTGAGCGGGACTAACCAGATGGCCGTCTCCAGGTTTGGATGGTCTGTGGGGCAGTAGAAAAGCCCTCAGTTAGTGGCCAGGGTGGCCGCATAACCTTGGTCAGGTTACTTGGCTCCCTTGTGCCTCAGTCTCTTCCTCTATGAAATGGATTGTGGTAAGGATTAAATAACCTAATTCATGAAAAGCCCATAGTAATTAGAAGGTGGCTATTAACTATAGTGCTCCTATTGTGGTAGAATTTGGGCTGGTGACTACCTAAATTTCTCCAGCAGTCCCTTGGGAGGACTGAGCATGCTCACTGGCCGAGGCCAGTGCAATGTTTAAAATGCTGATTGGCCTGTGCTGCCACCTGCTGGTCCCCTGCCCTACAGCCCCTGCAGTAGAGTTTTGTTGCCCAGAGGTATTTTTTGCATTTCTGCCCTCTGGAA